CTGCTGCTGCTGCTGCTGCTGCTGCTGTTGCTGTTGCTGTTGCTGTTGCTGTTGCTGCTGAGCAGCCAGGATATCACTCAGCTGGCTGACATTGCCCAGGGTGAGACCCATGCTGGCGGCGGACAGGCCGACATTGTTGCCTGAGGCAGTCCCGCCAAACAGCGGCGAGCTCGACAGCGAGTCCAGCGTCGGGGTCAGCTTGGACAGATCGCCAAGCGAAAGCCCGGCCCCGGCACCAAGAGATTGGTGCAGGCCCCCGGACACCGCGGCCCCGGAGCCATCGGACAGAACCGGGCTCAAGATGACGGGCGTGTTGATGCCGCTCTGGGTATTGCCACTGCTGCCGCTGCCGGCGGGGGCACCCGCGTTGAAGGCAAATTGATGCCCGCCGAGCAGGTTCAGGGGCATCAACGGTGTGCCAGGTGCCGAGTGCGACTGCTGCTGCGACTGCTGCTGCGACTGTGACTGCGACTGCTGCTGCGACTGCTGATGGTGCTGGTGATGCAGGCCGAGGTGATGATGATGGAAGGCCTGGTGGAGCTGCTGCGACTGGCTGCTGAGCAGCGGCGAGCCGCCACCAGGAACCAGATCCGAGGTCACGGCCGTCGCCATGGACGAGACGGACATGACGCCAAAGGGCAACTGTCCGGAGCTGGCGCCCATGACATCGCCCCCGGCCGTCGGCAGGAGAGTCCCAGCCGTCGGGGGGGGGATGGGCGACACGCGCCGCCGGCCGCCGACACTGGTGACAAATGCCGTCACATCGGACCCAGGACCAGTGGCAGATGGCGGCGCGCCGGCCATCGGCGGGCTGGCCTGTGCCCCGGCCACCGATCGCGACGGCGCGCGCAAGTTCACCAGCGCCGGCCGGCCGACCATCGGCAGAAGATCGCCGCTGGGGCTGGGGGACACGGCGGCCGCCGCCGCCGCTGCCGCCGCCGCCGCAACCGCCGCCGCCGGGGCATCCGTGCGGATGGAGAAGCGCACATGGCGCGCATCCACACAGACAATGGTCCAGCACATGAAGGCATCACTCAGGACCCCACATAGGTTCAGCTCCGAGGGGACCAGCGAGCCGCTGCTGCCGCTGCCAGCCGGCTCGAGTGCCATGCCCGCGCGCCGGTCGGCCGCACCATCCACCGGCGCATGGCCGCTGCACCCACCACCACTGCCGGGGGCATTGCCCCCGACGGGCCGGGACCCGGCCGCATCGCCCGTCCCGGTGGAGATGGCCCGATGGTAGCACAGCGAATCGCCATTGCTGGTGCTCAGATAGAGCGGCTCATCGGCCGCCTGGGCCGAAGCACAGCCGCACGGGCAGGAGGCGGAGCACATGTCAAGCGCCGCCGCGGCATTACGCCCCCCGGCCGGGGAGGAATGTGGCCGGCAGCACCCGACACTGACCCCCGCCTGGGAGGTATCACGGCCGGGGACCATGCGCAAGCAGCCACCATGGCCGGCGGTCGTGCCGGTCGCGCCGGTCGCGCCGCCACCGCCACCGCCGGCGGTCGTCCCGGCATCCGGACCCGGGCCGAGGATCGGCCACCCGGCCGGGGCATTGGCCAATTGCAGGGCCACCTTTTGGAGCTGGCTCACCGAGCCGGCATTTTGCTGATCGGCATAGGGGGCCGAGCGGCCATTTTGCACCATGGCATCACGCGTCACCCGGCGCAGAATCATCACATCGGACAGAGCGCCGGTGGGGGTGGGCACCTGCTGCAGGCCGCCGGCCCCATTGCCACCGCCACCGCCAGCCCCGCTGCCATTCGAGGGGAGACCCCCCCCGGAAGCATCCATCCCGCCGGTGGCCTCGGCACCGGGCGTCGACAGCACCATCATGGAACCGCCCCCGCCGACAGCGGTGCCTTCATCGAGGCCGGCCTCGGCCACATCGAGCAGCGCCTCCAGAGGGCGACTTTCCAAAACCACCGGCATGTTATACAGCAGCGGGGTGCCCTTGGGCAGGAGGCGCCCATCGCGACCGATCCCATGGATGATGAAAGGAGCCCAGGTGCCGGACCGGGCCACCAGCCGATAGCTACCGGCCGTGCTGCCACCGGTCGAGGCCGAGGTGGAGGCCGCGGCCGCGGCCGCCAGGTTGTCGAAGGAGCTGGAGGCGGAGGAACCGGCGCTGGTGGTGGCGGTTGCCGGTCGGAGGCCGGTGGGGCCGGTGTCCGGGCCCCCGGTCCCGGGCGGGTCCATGGCCATGTACTTGGTGCGGACGGTTTGCGAGTTGACACGATTAAAGAGGGCCACCAGCACGCCGGAAGTGATGACCAGCAAGTTATTGCGCATGCGCGTGGTCTTCTTGGAGGGCTTGCTGATGATGGACACCGGAGCGCTGTCGAAGGACAGCAGGGGCGAGTGATCGTCGAGGTACACCTGGCCATGGAGCGGGGGGTGTTTTTGTGTGCGTGTGTGCGTGTGCGCACGAGAAGAGAGGAGACAAGAGGGGGACGGGGGGGGGGGAGCGAGGAAGGAGCGTCAGCAAAAGACCAGGGACACGCTTGGCAAGCACATGCCCAACCGAACATCAAGAGCCCGAAGGGACCAAGATCGATGACTTTCCCCGGCGGCGACAACCCCCCACCCACCCTGGGGGGGGGGGGGGGGGGGGGGGGGGGGACACCAGTGGACACAAGGGGAAGAGGGCAGAGGGGAAAATGCAACAACAGTACGCACCCCAGCCCGGAGGATGAAGGACTTAAACCGATTGCCGGTGGAGTCGGCAGACCCGGCGCCATTGACGTGCATGTACTTGAAGACGGCCCGCGCGGCACCAGGCACCGCGGCCGGCGGCCCGAGGGGGTGAGGGGATTCCAAAAACTCGCGATGCTCGATGGTGGCAGCCGCAGCGGCCGTCACGGCTGCCTGATTGACCATGCCGCCACTTTGCATGGAGGGAGATCCCCCACGCCGGGCAGAAAGCTTGCCGCTGCCCTGGGCCCCGGGGCCGGCGGCGGCGGCGGCGGTCGACCCGCCAAGCAGCAGGTTGTCCAGTGAAGAAGCCGACCCCACGGGGGAGGCCGGACCGGAGGAGCCACCGGCCCGACGCCCGGAGCCGATGGTCGGCGAGGCGCCCGGAGTGACAACCGGCGACATGCCGGCCCCGCTGGCCGAAAGGAGGGCCGGAGCGCCGTCATGGAGGATGCGCATGCGCACGTGCGGCCGACTGGCCGGGGATTTGCCATCGGACGCTCCGCCGGGAGCACCACCGGCGCCGGTGGCATCGGTGGCCAGCGGCAACGACGGCAAGGCCGGCAGCGAGTGAATCAACGGCGGCGGGCAGAGGAAGCGCTTCTCACTGCCGTAGGACTTCTGGGCCACGCACGCGTGCAGCAGCACCAGCGAATAGTGCTGCATGCTGGAGGGGACCAGGATGTCCGAAGAGGGGGACCGGGAGAGCAGGGCCGGCGGGGACATGGCCGGCCCGATGGCCCCGGCATTCAGTCGGGGATTGATGCTCTGGAGGAAGAGCGAATTGGCGGAGTTGAGACTGGAGGGCAGACGCTGATCGGCCATCGGCAGGAGAAGCCCACGCCCGGCCGAGGACCCGGCGCCGACTTGTGCCATGGAGCTCCCGGGAGAGGCGGTGGCAACTGTGACCGGCGCACATGCAGGCGTGTGAGTGTGTGCGTGTGCGCGTGCGTGTGCGTGTGGCGGGGGGGGCAAGTGGAGAGTGGCGCACCAAACTGCTGGGTGAGGGGGGATGGAACAGTGAGGATGGTCTGGCCGCCGCCAGGACTGCCGATCAGTGTACCGGCTTGGGCGTTCTGCACCAGCGGAATGGACAGGTTGGAGAAGCAGCCAGGCAGAACACCGGGAATGATGCCTGAGTCCAGGAGGGAAGTTGTGTGCGCGCGGGTGCATGTGTGTGTGTGTGTGTCAGGAAGAGTGGGACGGCCACGCGCAGGGAAGAACGACATGTCAAGGGCCGCGCACCGGAAGTATTGACCGAGCCGACCGAGCCGACCGAGCCGACCGAGCCGACCGAGCCGACCGAGCCGACCGAGCCGACCGAGCCGACCGCGCCGACCGCGCCTCCGCCGGTCAGGAGCTGGGTCAGTGCCGGGCTGGCATTCGGACTGCCATCACCGCCGAGGGAGAGACCCATCGAAGAGAGGAGATCCGACTGGGGGAGCAGGTTCAAGGGGGACACCATCGGCGACGCAAGGCGCGAGTCCGACGCCGAGGGGGCCAGCAGTCCAAACATGGGATCTGCACGGGCAGCAGCCAGGTCAGTGGGCGATCGCGCCGGGACTGGTGGGCAGGAGGGAAGAAACGCACCCTGGCCAGTGGCGGGGCTGGACTTCGGGAGAAGCGAAGCGGAGATCATCGGCACAGTGGAGGGGACAATCGCACCGGCATTCATGACAGCCATCGCGTCGGCCGAGGCAAGGTCTGCGTGGGAGGGAGAGGGAGGGAGGGTCAGCACCGGGAGCCGGAGACACACAGGTCGGTCAGCCCAGGGGGCTGCCAGCAAGAAGGGGAGGACCATGGCGCGTACCGGCCGGCGCGTGGCGTTTGACCGGCCGGGCGAGTGGCAGGGGCGCCTCGCCGTTGGACGCGACCCCGGCATCGGCGGTCGGACCGCTGGAGGCCTTGCGCTTCTTCGGGTGCGATGTGGCCAGGTCCATCGGGGCCGGGCCAGGGGCCCCGGCCGGGGCTGGAGCCGGCACGCCTGGCGAGAATTCCGCCATGGGGACGGCTGGCGAGAGGGGCTCCGCCTTGATGAGCGATGAGCCCGAGGGGGCGGCCGGGCCGGTGGCGCCCGTGGTGGTGCCGGTGCTGGTGGTGTCGGCAGGGTTGGCGGTGGCGGCGGCGGCGGCGGCGGCCGGAGCGTCGAGTTGCTCGCGCTGCGAGGCCACAATGTCCAGGAGCAGGGTCAGGCCCGAGAGGCCGGCAGGGAGATCAGACCCGGCGGATGAGGACTGGCTGTCGCCCGGGGGAAGATGATGGCCATCGCCAGGGGCCGAGGAGGCAGGCCGGCCCGCCTTGGAGGGGTGGGCAGCGGAGGACGTCATTGCGTCGTGGAGGGAGGGGGGTTCCCTTCAACCGGGAGGGGGCCGGGGGAGGGGGACGAAGCAGGAGGTCGCGCAGGGAGGAGAGGGGAGGGCCTTCCGGAAGCAGTGCACGGAGGACCACGGTTCTCAGAGAGCTAAAGGTAGAGGGGGGGGGGAGGGGGTGAAACAGGCGCGACTACGGGCGTGGAGGGAAGTGCCAGCTCGGCGGCCGGCCGGTGTTTGCGGGCGGCCGAAAAATTTCTCATGCCCCGGGCGGGGCGTTCCCGCGCGCCGACCAGCCGGGGGTGGGAAGCGCCAGGCTGGCAGGAGGAATGTCCCACGACGGCCCGGGTGTGCGTGCAACGGCGCGCCCCGGGGTGGGGGAGATCTAGTGTAGACCCCTCCCTGCGGTGTGTCGATGCGCCCCCCCCCCCCTGCACCCCGCGCGCCTCCCTGGCAGCAGGAGCCTGCGGCTTGTGCTCGTTGCTCTCGCCCGGCCCCTCTCACCCGGGGGGCTTTCCCGCGTGCCACCTGTTTTCCCCTCAAGAGTGTCCTTGGGCGGGGTCGGGGCAGAGGGGGGCGGGGGGGGGGGGGGGGGGAGAAAAGAAAAAACCCCGGGGCGCCCGCCCCCCCCCCCCCCCCCCCCTCCCCCTCCCCAGGGGTGCGGGAAACGCGCGGTGGCCGAGAGACCCCAATTGCGAGGGTGTGTTGGCCGGACCATCCGGCGGGGGATGTGATCTGCCCCCGCTGCGGCCCGGGGCACTCTGGTAGACACGGAGGAATGTCCCATGTCTGTGTCCCTGGCGGCCGACTGCCGGGTGGGGGGGGGGCTTCCGAGCACGCGTGCACACAACTGGCTCGCGGCCGGTGCCCTGGGGTGGGAAAAGAAGTCCCGACGCCGGGGGCAAGGGCGCGCGCGTGCGGCCGCACGCCGGCCGGCGCAGGGGGCAGGGAGATCTCCAGTTGCGTCAGGCGTGTGTACCCCGACCGGGGGGCGGCGGCGGCGGCGGCCCCGGACACGGGCACGGCTGCTTGGCCCGTCCCCCCGGCTGCATTCTCTCACCATGCCGGGCGAGGGAACAACAGAGGGCGCCAGGAGAGGGCGAGCAGCGGCCGGACACAGGAACAGCAACAGAACCCGGAGCCCAAGCCAGCAGGAGACTGGGCGACCACCGGGCGGCGGCTCCCGGGCTTCCGGCCCCCGACCGGTCGCCCTTGCCAGCTCGCACCCACGCCCGAAGGGGGGGCGGGGGCATGACTGGGCATGCGTGGCGGAAGCTTCCTGAATGCGCCCCCCCCCCCCCCCCCGCCCCCCCCCCGGCCAGCGGGGCGTGTACCCACGGTACGGCCCGGGGCCTGGGGACCGGGGGGGGAGGGGCAGGCCGAGTGGACACGCCGAGAGACCGCGGAGGGAGGATTTTCCCACACCAGCCCGAGCAGGGGGCTTCCATGCCGCCCCCCGACGGGGAGAGGACGGGCGCCCGCGCGGTGGCCCGCTGGCCTCCCGCCCCCAGGACCGGAGGGGGGGGGGAGATCGGGCCCGGCACCGTGCGCCAAGGAGGAGGCGCCCCCAAGAACGGCCGGGGCCTTCGGCCCCCCGGTCCCTCCGCTCTCCCCGTCGCGGCGGCCGGGAGGGCGCTTAGGCCTGGGGCACTCCGGGGCGTGTGCGCGCGCGCACCGCGGGACCCGGCGGCCGGGCCGCCACATGGCACCGCGCTGGGAGGCATCGGCCGGAGGCGGATTTCGCCCCC